ATTGTCTTGTGTATTGGATTATTAGTGTTGAATTTGAGCTTCAATACATGTGGTTACATGTATGTTTTTATGCAACTCTTTTGATACGCTCTGTCTTGCATGGTAATGTGTGATTGTTGAGTTAATCTGGGCTTGCATTTAACCAAGTGCATTAATTAATCTTAATACACACACTAAGTGAGCTTAATAGGATCTTATGAAATGGGTACCATTGATTAAGATCCTAGACTTAAAGAGTTCTTTAAGGTGTTTCATTTAGAAAACTTGGTGATTTCTACTCCCATACTTATTTTGAACTATGATTGCTTCAAAGCTATATTCAAGAGATTACATATCATTAATTTCACTTCATTACTACTATCTAGAAAAATCCAAAAACATAGTCACTTAGATTTGAATTAATTGCATTTAGTTTTAGCATTTCATCAATGGATAAAAACACCAAAAACCCCTTTTTCATTACTCTGCATAGCATTAATCTAACTTAGACATCTAATTTAGGCTCCCAAAAGAGAACGACCCGAGTTTGCACTACTGCATAGCTTGGATAATTTTTGAGCGAGAACCTCTAAGCGAACGACAAGAAAAGGCTCTCTCTCAGTGGTTGAGCTACCTTATGATTTGAGAGTGTCTACTCCTGCGGGAGTCACTGTCGTAACTGGAAGAGCATGTCTAGAGCTTGCACTCCAGTTTGAGAATCGAGATTCTACAATAGATTTGTTTTGTCTACCTCTAAAAGGTATCGACGTGATTATTGGCATGAATTGGTTGATGGCTAATGGTGCAATCCTTGATTGTAAAAGGAGGTTGGTGACGATTCCAGTAGGTGCCTTATGTGCTGAAATGTTAGGTGGTCCAGTTTTGTTGTCAGCTGCTCAAGTAGAGAAGGTGGTGAGGAAAGGGTGCCAGGCCTTCATTGTCTTCTTTTCAATTAGTGAGGATGAGGCAAGAGGAATAGAACAGATAGCTGTGGTGAGGAACTACCCTGAGGTGTTTTCAGACGAGGTGGCCGGACTACCTCCAGAGCGGGAAGTGGAGTTCTCCATAGAATTGGTCCCGGGAACCACCCCAATCTCAAAGGCTCCCTATAGAATGTCTCCCTTAGAATTGGTAGAATTGAAAAAGCAGCTAGAAGAATTGTTAGAAAAGGGACTTATCTGACTAAGTGTGTCGCTGTGGGGATCGCCGGTTTTGTTTGTGAGGAAGAAAGATGGTAGCTTGAGGCTGTGTATCGACTACCGACAATTAAACAAGGTCACAATCAAGAACAAGTACTCGTTGCCTAGAATTGATGACTTATTGGACCAATTAGTCGGAGCGTCAGTTTTCTCTAAGATTGATCTGAGATCAGGATACCATCAGTTGAGGATACGAGCAGAGGACATTTCAAAAAGGGCCTTTCGAACTCGTTATGGACACTATGAGTTTTTGGTGATGCCTTTTGGACTGACAAATGCTCCAGCTGTCTTTATGGACTACATGAATTGGATCTTCCGACCTTATTTGGACAGATTTGTGGTAGTGTTCATCGATGACATTTTGATTTATTCTAGAAGTGAGGAAGAACATCAAGAGCATCTTCACATCGCACTACGGATTTTGAGGGACCACCAGTTGTATGCTAAGCTGTCAAAGTGTGAGTTTTGGCTAAAAGAAGTGAAGTTCTTAGGTCATGTGGTGTCAGCTCAGGGAGTAGCAGTGGATCCTAACAAGATGGACGCGGTACTTAAGTGGGAGGTCCCTAGATCAGTAACTGAGGTGCGGAGTTTTGTGGGATTAGCTGGCTACTATCAAAGATTTATCCAAGGCTTTTCTCAGATTGCAATGCCATTGACTAAGTTAACCAAGAAGGATCAACCGTTTCTTTGGACGGAGAAATGTGAATCAGCGTTCCAAGAGCTGAAGACCAGGTTGACTACAGCTCCGGTGCTTACGCTTCCAATCCCTGGAGTACCGTATGTTCTTTACACCGATGCGTCACTAAAGGGTTTGGGTTATGTGCTAATGCAGAACAATAAGGTGGTGGCATACACTTCCAGGAAGTTGAGGCCACATGAAGAAAACTACCTAACCCATGACTTGGAGCTAGCGGCAGTAGTTTTTACACTAAAGATCTGGAGGCATTATCTGTATGGCTCCTAGTTCAAAGTTTTCAGTGACCATAAAAGTTTGAAATATTTGGTAGATCAGAAAGAATTGAACAACCGGCAGCGTCGTTGGATGGAATTCCTAAAGGACTATGACTTTGAGATTAAGTATCATCCTGGAAAAGCTAATGTGGTAGTGGATGCTCTGAGTAGAAAAGCAGTGCATGTGTTCTGTATGAGCTTAAAGGAACAATTCTTGCTCAGGGAGTTATTGGAGATTCCAATTGTACCGTCGGGGCAGGCTACTATGTGTGCAGTGCTTGGAGATTATGGATTCTATCAGGATTTATGAGCGACTCAATGGGAAGATGAACAGTTGGCGAGGATTCGGGTAGAATTGGAGGGTGGCCCAATGTAGAACTATGAATTTGGAGATATGGGCATCTTGAAGTATAAGAACCAAATTTGTGTTCCCCGAGTGACGAGAGCCTTTTTGTTGTTTGCTTTGGGGTTCTCAATCAAAAATAAATCCAAGCTATGCAGTATAGTGCAAACTCAGGTCGTTTCACTTTTGGGAGCCTTTATTAATTACCTAAGCTAAACTAAATGCCATGCAATGCAATGAAATGGGGTTTTAGGTTTTTAAGATTTAAATGAATGGAGCCTAAACTAAATGCAATGAAAACAAACCTAAGATACTATATTTTTGGTGTTTTAAGATGATAATGATGGAATGGAAATGAATGATAGGAAATCTCTTGAAAATGGTTTTGATGGCAATCATAGTTCACTTAAAGTATTGGGAGTTTCATAAATCCATTAGGTTTTCTTAATAACAACCTCAATAACTCATTGAGTCCAAAGCTTACATTAATGAACTCATTAATGAAAACTTTGTTAAGCTTCCCTAATGTGTAATTTTGGAATGATCATGCAATTGGCTCAATGTAACACACAATCAACTCAGTATCAAAACATAACCATGCAAGATATGAGAGAATCATGAGAGTTACAAGAAGCATATATGCAACTACATATATTTAAGCACAAAATTCAAATCAATCAATCCAAATTACAAATGTTAATCATTAACCAATGATTACAGTAACAATCCTAAGTTCTTAACTAACAATTTACAACTCCTAGACCTAGAAAGCCATAAATCATAGCTAAAAATTGAAAACTGAAACTAAACTCCCCTTTGAAGTCTGGAAACTCATGCCACACCACCATTCTTCAAGAGTTGATAAACCCTAGCCCTCCATAGCTTCAAGAAAAACTCCAACCAAAGTGAATCTATCAACCATGGCAGCTGGGAGTGGAAGGAAATGAGATGAAATGAAGAAAAGGTGAAGGAAATGGATGAGGAAGAAGATGGAGGTGGAGAGGCAAGAGGATGGAAGAATAGAGGTGTTGGAGATGATAGAATGGAGTTCTCCCCCAAAAATAGGGTTTCTAAGGGTTTAAAGGGTCCATATAGGTCGGATCATATGATTAGAGGCTCTATTTTCGTGCTCTGATCCGGATCTAGCGTTGCTGATACGAGTCTTTCGCCGCGGCGAAGCATTCCCGAGAGGAGCTCTGCCTAATCATGTGATTTCACCGCGGCGAAGCTGTTAGTTGGCCGCGGCGAACTCTGCTTGAGAGATTACTGGTGAGATTTCAATTTGGCGCCGCGGTGAACTATGTTAGTGATGATACTCTGATCTTGTGTTGTGTCATCCTTTGGTCTTTGATCTTGGCTCCAATTCTCAAGTATCATACAATAAAAAGCAACAATTTGAAGCATCAATTGTCCTAGAAATCAACTGAATACAATTAATAACCAATTATGACAATTTTAACCTCAAAAAGACATTAACTCAAAGCAAGGACTCTTAATCTAAATTAAGCACAATTATCATCAAAAGGAGCCAAAATCTATGATAAATACCCTTAAAATGATATGAAATAACATAGAACAATGAGGTTCAATCACCGGGATAAGGAGATTAAGAGAACTATCCTAGAGGAGGCTCACCGAAGCCGTTACACTATCTACCCCAATGCAACCAAGATGTACCATGACCTAAAGCAGCTGTATTGGTGGCCCAACATAAAGAAGGAAGTGACTGACTTTGTACTTCGATGTTTGACTTGTCAGAAAGTTGAGATAGAGCATCAACGACCTGGAGGTTTGTTACAAGGACTAGAAATCCCTCAGTGAAAGTAGGACAGCATCTCCATGGACTTCATTGTGGGTTTGCCGAGGACACCCGAAGGTTATGATACTATTAGGGTGGTGGTGCACAGATTGACAAAATCTGCTGACTTTTTACCGTATAAAGTCAATTATACCTTGGAGAGAATGGCCAATTTGTACATGGATGAAATCGTCAGGCTTCATGGGGTTCTGTCGAGTATAGTCTCAGACCGAGATCTGCGCTTTACTTCTAACTTTTGGAAAGCAGTGAATGCGGCTTTGGGTACTAAGTTGAAGTTCAGCACAGCATATCACCCACAGACCGATGGACAGATTGAGCAGACAATTCAAACGCTAGAGGATATGTTGAGAGCTTATGCCATTGAATTCAAGGGGAGTTGGATTGATCACCTACCTCTGGGGTTCTGTCGAGTATAGCCTCAGACCGAGATCCGCGCTTTACTTCTAACTTTTGGAAAGCGGTAAATGTGGCTTTGGGTACTAAGTTGAAGTTCAGCACGACATATCACCCACAGACTGATGGACAGACCGAGCGGACAATTTAGACGCTAGAGGATATGTTGAGAGCTTGTGCCATTGAATTCAAAGGGAGTTGGATTGATCACCTACCTCTGGCTGAATTTGCCTATAATAACAGCTACCATGCCAGCATCCAGATGGCCCCTTATGAAGCACTTTACGGCTGAAAGTGTCGATCGCCTCTCTGTTGGATGGAACTAAGTGAAAGAACGGTTTTAGGACTAGACTTGGTAGATGCCACCACAGAGAAGACTGAGGTCATCAAGCAGAAGTTGCTGACAGCTCAGAGCCGGTAAAAGAGTTATGCGGATAGGAGGAGACCATTGGAATTTTGTGAGGGTGACCATGTGTTTTTGAGGGTCACGCCGACTACCGGTATTGGGAGGTCCATTAAAGCGAGAAAGTTATCTCCTAGATTTCTTAGACCCTTTGAAATTCTGGAGAGAATTGAAGAAGTAGCCTATCGAGTTGCTTTGCCACTGCACCTGTCCAACGTGCATGATGTGTTTCATGTGTCCCAACTAAAGAAGTACCACCCTGATCCGTCTCACATCTTAGAGGCTGAGGAGGTGAAGCTGGATGACAATCTAACTTACCAGGCTGAATCGGAAAGAATCCTTGATGTGAAGGACAAACAGTTGAGGAATAAGACCATTCGATTGGTGAAAGTTTTCTGGAAGGGCATGAGTCTGGGTGATGCCACCTGGGAGACAGAGGAAAGGATGCGATGCGATTACCCTTGTTAGTTTTCTTAGTAAGTGTTTTGTGTTTGTTTGTGTTGTGTATTGTGTAATTGCTTGAATTTTAGGGGAGAATCGTAACATTATGAGTTTTATCGGGTTTTAATAGCCTTTTTTTGTTTGATTTTTGAGGATAGATTAGTGATTTAATGTTGATCTTGGTGTTCGGGTTGGAATTGAGGTATGTTGAAGGAATAGGTGAACAATCCCTCTTAGGGTTTGTTCAACTTCACCGTGACGAACCGGGAGTTCTAGGGGGGATTGTCTTTCGAGCAGGTTTGGCCGCAGCAAAGTCATAGGGACGCCGCGGTAAAGTTATTTAGGTGAGCAAGGTTTCCCTCTCGGGAAGATCTTGCTATGGCGAAGTCATAGGGACGCCGTGGCGAAGGTTTTCTGGGCGAGCGGGAGTTTCCTCTCGGGAAGCTTTCACCGCGGCGAAGATTGGAGTTCGCCGCGACGAAGTCAGGTTTTCAGGCAAGTAATCCCTCTCGGGATTAGTTCACCATGGTGAAGTTCTGGGTTTACCGCGGCAAAAGGGGTCGAATTTATATAGTCGCTGGAAGGGTCAGATGTGCGAAAATTAGAAAATCTGAAGGAAGAGAAAGAGGCTCTGCTAGGGTTTCGAACTTTTGGCTTGGAGGGGGCATTTCTAAGGATCCATTACCTCAAGTAAGTGATTTTAGCCTCTAATCTACTTTCTTACTTGGAATTTCTAAGGATTTATGGTGAAACCCTAGAGTTTGCTAGGTTGTTATGGAATTGAGGTTTTTGACCGATTGTTTTGAGTTTAATTGATTGCTTTGAGTTAGTCTAAGTATTTAATCGGTGTAGTTTTCTTGGATTTGAAGAACTTGGAGTTTTTGAAATTAGGGTTTATGGAAATGGGAGGTTTGTGATTGAGGATGACAATGTGAACATTAATTTTGAGTTTTGTGATTTGGGTTATGTTAAGGAGGGTTAAATTGGATGTTTAATCAATTTAGAATGTTGTTAAGACTTCAATTGTTCAAATGGGATGTTTGGGTGTTGAATTCCTATAGTGGGTCCTTGAGGTTATGAGTTTTAATTGATGTTTGGAAAGGAATTAAGGTTTTAATGGATTTTTATGACCTTGGAGTGTTGCCTTGATGATTATACCCTTTTGAGTTGGGTAGAGTCTTGGTTAGAGCTAGGAATTTTGTGTCCCCAAATGTTGTTTTGGCCACATTATTAGTTGAAAGCTAATACATGTTGGTTGTGTGCATGTGTAGACCGGTTGTGAGCCTTGTTGGTGCACGGGGCCATCTTGTTGGTTTGTTATTCCTTGCTCAGGCGAGAGGTAACCACTTTCCAATCCTTTGTACATGCTTTTGCGGTATTGTGAGTGGATTTATGTTTTGTGCTCTGAGTAACAACTGTGTTCAAAGTGTATGTTGTATATTAAAAAGAAAAACTGTCTTGTGGGGTTTCAATTGATATTGAATGACTTTGGAACTTATGAAGAATAGGCCACTAAAAGAAGTTAATTGTGAAATGATTATTTACTCTTTGATTACGGTTTGAGCATGATGCATGAATTGGGAATTGGTGAGAGTTTTGATTGTTACTACCACATGGTAAGGCCTCCATTAATGCATGATGGTTGGCTCTTTACGTACCCCATAGTGAGGGATATGCCTTTTGGCTCCCTACGTCCCCCAGAGTGAGGGATAGGCCTTTTATGGCTCCTTACGTCCCCCATAGTGAGGGATAGGCCGGGTTCGGCTCTTGAAAATCCCCTAAAGTGAGGGATATGATTGATGGGATTGCATCATTGCACTTGCATAACTTGTATGGCTATCATTTATCATATTACTTGTGAACTGCCCCACTTGACACCTCACGAGCACCTATCTAGTAGTACCTTGAATTGGAAAGATTGGTTACTGGGACTTTTGTCTCACCCTGCGGTTTACAATGTTTTCAGGTGAAGATTCTAGGCGTGTGCCATCGGGAAGAGACGTAGAGGCTTGAGCTTGGTTAGCTTTAGGCCTCTAGCCCTTGTATATGTATGGCTAGTATATATTGCCACGTTTAGGACCCCTTTTGAAATATTTTGATTACCCGGCCTTATTGTAAACTGGAGGGAATGTTATCTCCTTATTTTGGTTGGCTGGAGGCCATTTCTAGTGTCTTATGAAACTCTGATTTATTTTGTTGGAAACCTTTTGGATGGGCTGATATTGATGTCTTTCGTTACCCGGGCCGGAGGCTCGGAGGCCCAGTGGTTAATGAATGTTTTCTAGTTGCGTGCAACAGAGTTTGGGTTTATTTCGAGTTTATAATGTTTTGAGGATAAGGGTTTTATAGTTTCAGACCAAGATCTAAGATTTACTTCTAAGTTTTAGAGGTCCCTACAGAAAGAAATGGACACTACTCTCAGATTCAGCACAGTTTACCATCCCCAGACATATAGGCAGATAGAACGAATGATTCAAATATTCGAAGATATGCTACGTTCTTGTGTTTTGGATTTTTGTGGTAATTAGGATATGTTATACCTTACTATCGCATCATCTTAAGGTTCAATTAAAACCATTTTAGACCATATTGGATGGTCTTGGGCTCTATTTTATCCCAAAAATGCTAATTTTCAGATTTTTACTGTTCATCAGGTAAATATCCAGTTTTCTAGCCCAACTTCAAAAATTCATAACTTAATCTAAGAAAATCAAAATGGAGTGGTTTAAAATTATATAAAAATCTCTTTGAATGCTCTTTCAAGGAAAAATAATTTTGAAACCAATTCCATTAGAAAAGGCATCAGGTTTTTGTGCAAGTCACCTCTATTCATTAGGCAAAAACCCTTTTTTCAGATTCTAAACCTTAACTTTGAAAAATCATTAAAAATTATGTAGTTGGCCATTTTTAACGTGTTAGCTATCAAAATGAAGCTCAGAACGTGATCGACAATCATACCAAATTTCGTGATTAAAAGCGTTCAGGAGTTTAATCAAAACATCACTTAAAGATGGCAGTGTCAGTAGGTTTACAATACTGCCCAGGATAATATTTAAATAACCCAAAAGTCCACAAATTTTTATGGTATGATACCATAATTTAACCTTCAATCTGTAGCTTGCCCTTGGATGTTTCAGGCCCTAAAATGTTAGATTCCATTTGGGGGATGAGATTTCATTGAAATCCCAATAGCAAATTAACCAACTATATCATCAAGCAGCATCATTATTATGCATAACTACATTAACTACTATTGGTGAACTAGCATGCTTATCATTTGGCAAACTCAATCATGCAAAGGCCAAAGCAAGAAAGTGCAAAGAGCAGCTACATCAGAATCAAGAAAGTTCATCCACATAATAGTAATTAATCATGCAATAATCAATAATGCCAAGTTAATGTTAGTAGTTAGGTTCAACTTGCTACCTTGCTCCAAAGGCTTGAGCTTCCTTTATTCCTCTTCTTTTCCTTCACAAATGTCAAACCCTAGCATGGTAATCCACCAAAAAAGGTAGCAAGAATCATTAACCAAACCAAGTAAAAGCAAGAACACAACTTAAACATAACTCTTGCTCCTTAAAGCTTCCACCTTCGTTCTTTCATTTTTGAACTTTGTTTTCCATAAGCCCTAAAATTGATTCTTGACTTATTCCCACATGGTTTTTTATGGAGATTCCAAATATATACTTAGATTTAAGAAGATAAAATTCCTCCTTTCAATTTTTTCTTGACCAAACCAATGGGGTTCTTTAACCAAAAATTACAACTTTGATTTTAATGCTTCCAACACTTGTTCTTTAGGTTTATCCTACACCATTTTTCTTTCTGAGCACAATGGAAGCATTAAAACAATGAAAAAATCATCCTAGGATCCATTTACTACCTTGGCCCAAATGAACCTTAAGAGAAACAACAAAGAAAACACTTCAAAAACAACCCATAACGACTTGCAACCACTAGGAACTATATGCTTTGAAGTGTTCTAGCAAGTTTGACCAACAAAAATTCTTCCCCCACATGATAATCAGTTCGGTGAGCACCCAAGGAGAAATAGAATTTTCAACCATACAAGGCAAGAAAACAAGACAAGGATCCATTTAGGACCAAGAACTAATCTTGATTCTCACTTCTATACTCAAAGTTGATGCCTTTCTCCTTGGTTTCTCTTGAAATTCTCTCTTTTCCCTCTTTCTCTCCTCTTGGCCGAGCATAACATTTGAAATTAAGGGGAGGAGTGCTTGTTTAATGAGTCAAAATATCCCAACCATCATTATAAATGCAATTCCAAGTGTCATTACCCCTTTAATCTTACTCTCTTTCATAATTAACTAAATCCAAGTGAAATTAATTACCAAAAGTCAAAATCCTCTCCATTTGAGGAATGAAACTTGGCAAGTTCAAATCCTCTCCATTAAGGCTTGACACATGGCTAAATGTGAACCATTTGAATTGTAAGACTCTAGTCTTGCTTTATTAGTGCACTTTGACTCCGAGTTTAAGTTCTTTTCTATACTTACAGTATTCTGGCCTCTGTAATTATTTTCTATTAGATCCCCAATTTATTCTCCTCATTTTTATCATCCCAAATTCCCCTCTTTGTCTGAAAATTAATTTCCCAATAATTAAATAGAAAGGAAAAATAATTTCCTTCTCTTTAGTATTTTTCCACTTTTCAAGGGAATTGGAAAAAATCTTGGATACTTGAGGGTCTTCTTTTAATTCCATAATCTCTTATAATTCCTTAGGATATCATAGGAATTTTCTTGAAATTTTATTCTCCTTTAAAATATTTATTTGGAATTTTCCAAATAAAATCCCTTAAATTGACCTAAATCACCCTTAAATTCTTTTGTAATTTCTCTAAGGGTAATTTGGTCATAATACCAATTTTATAATCTCATATAATTCTCAAAGGATATTATCCTTTTTTTTCTTAATTTTTTGAGGCTTGAAAATATTATTCCATAATTATATTTGACCAATTTTTCTTAATTAGTCAAATTTCCATATTTGGCTTGGAAAATCATAATAATTATTTTCCACCAAAATTCTTCTACTTCTCCTTATCATTTTTGGCCCTTAATTATTTAGGAATATTCCTTATTCCTAATTATCATAGTACTGAATGTGACATTTCTCCCCCCTAAATAAATTTCGTCCTCGAAATTTAAAGCATACCTTAACGAAAAAGTTCAGGGTACTTTTCCTTCATCTCGGTCTCCATCTCCCATGTGGCTTCTTCAAGGAAAGACCCTTCCAGACTACTTTGGCCAGTGGAATCTACTTGTTCCTTAGCTACTTGACCTTTTGATCAATGATTCGCTTTGGTCTAACCTCAAAAGACAAGTTGTCTCGGAGCACAATGTCATCATAACTTATGACTTGTGTCGGGTCTGGATGGTACATCTTCAGTTGGGAGACATGGAAGACATCATGAATCTAACTTAATTTGGGGGGAAGAGCCAACTTGTAGGCTACTGGTCCAGCTTTGGACAAAATTTGAAACGGTCCAACATACTTCGGACTTAGATTTTTGGTCTTCAGGGATCGATCGACTCTCATTTTTTGGTAACACTTTAAGCAAAACGTGATCACCAACTTCAAACTCTAATGGTCTCCTTCTTGTATCTGCATAGCTCTTCTATCTACTCTGAGCTGTTAAAAGTCTTTGCTGAATAGCTTTAATCTGTCGAGAAGTCTCAACCACTATATCTGGACCAAGGATGCTTCTTTCACTAAGCTCTGTTCAACATAAGGGAGATCTACATTTTCTCCCATAGAGTGCCTCATATGGTGCCATTTGAATACTTGAATAGAAACTGTTATTGTAGGCAAATTCGGCTAACGGTAAGTATGTATCCCAATTACCGCTGAAATCCAATACGCAAGCACGTAACATATCCTCCAATGTCTGAATTGTTCATTTCGTCTGCCCATCTGTCTGGGGATGGTAGGCTGTGCTAAATCTGAGAGTAGTGTCCATTTCTTTCTTTAGGGACCTGTAAAACTTAGAAGTAAATCTTGGGTCTTGGTCCGAAACAATACTGCTTAGAACACCGTGCAGCCTAACAACTTCCTTGATGTAAAGCCTCGCTAACTTTTCAGGAGAATCTTTAACATTCATAGCAAGAAAGTATGCAGACTTAGTCAGACGGTCTATTATAACCCATATCGCATCATGTTTAGCCACTGTCATCAATAACCCCACTATGAAATCCATGGATATGCTATCCCATTTCCACTCAAGGATATCTAGGGGTTGCAACTCTCTTGCAGGCTTCTGATGTTCTATCTTTACTTTCTGGTAAGTGAGATACTTTGCCACATACTCTGTATATCCTTCTTCATTCCAGGCCACCAGAAAAGTTCTCTAACATCATGATACATCTTTATCATTCCTGGATGAAGAGTATACTTGCTCTTAGGGCTTCTGCCAGTATCTTTTCTCTGAGGTCGGCTACTTGGAAAACCTAGGTTCTTCCTTTAAACTTCAATATCCCTTCCTAGAAATTTCAAAGTTCTTAGTCTCGCCTCTAGACAACTTCCCTTTGAAAATTTCTGCTAGCCAATCCTGTGATTATGCTTCTCTGATTTGATCCTCGAGCAGAGCTGTAAACTGGGTTCTACATCCGTTTCCTTCTACTAACTGCATCTGATATAGAGGAGCCCAATCTCTGAAATCCTCTACCAGCTTCTGCTCCTTGATCATTAGTGATGCTACCTACACTGCCTTTCTGCTCAAGGCATCTGCAACTACGTTCGCTTTGCCTGGATGGCTTAATCTAGAAATCATAGTCTTTAAGCAAGTCCATCCATCTTCGTTGTCTCATATTCAACTCGTTTTAATCATGGAGGTACTTGAGGCTCTTGTGGTCGCAAAACAATTATATTGTTGTTCCGTACAAATAATGTCTCCATATCTTCAACGCATAAACTATCGTTGCCAATTCCAGGTCGTGGGTCAGGTAATTCTCCTCATAAGACTTCAACTGGCATGAGGCATATGCTACTACCCACCCTTACTGCATGAGCACACATCCTAGTCCCTGCTTGCTAGCGTCTGTATAAACTACATAGGGTTGTGAAGGATCAACGAGTACAAGTACAGGAGTAGAGGTGAACTTCCTCTTCAGCTCCTGAAAACTAGCCTCACTCTTCTTATCCTACAAGAACAGCTGGTTCTTCCTAGTTAACTTGGTCAGCAGAAGAGCAATCCGAGAAAAGTCCTGGATGAATCTTCTGTAATACCTCACTAGTCTGAGGAAACTTCTGATCTCAGTTACCGTCTTGGGTCTCTCCCAGTTGAGTACTGCCTCAATCTTACTGGGGTCGATAGCCACTCCCTCTCGAGAAATCATATGGCTGACAAATCAGACTTCCTATAGCCAAAACTCACACTTACTAAGTTTGGCCACCTGCTGCTTCTCTTTTAGGGTATTTAGGACAATTCTCAAATGAGTCTCATGCTCTTCAGGAGACTTGGAGTATACTAGGATGTCATCAATAAACAATACCATGAATTGATCTAAGTAAGGGCAAAAGATCCTATTCATGTAGTCCATGAATATCACAGGTGTATTCGTCAATCCAAACAGCATCACTAAGAATTCATAGTGCCCATAGCGAGTTCTAAACGCAGTCTTAGGGATATCATCAAGTTTAATCTTGAGTTAGTGGCAGCTAGATCTTAATCAATCTTAGAGAACACACTGGCACCAACTAGCTGGTCTAATAGATCATCTATCTTAGGGAGCGGATACTTGTTCTTAACTGTGACTTTATTCAGCTCCCTGTAGTCTATGCATAATCTTAGACTACTATCCTTTTTCTTGACAAATAACACTGGAGCACCCCATGGCTATACGCTTGGTCTAATAAAACCTTTCTCAAGTAATTCTATCTATCTGCTTCTTAAGTTCCACTATTTTATTTAGAGCCATTTTTGTAAGGCCCTTAGAAATTAGTCCTGCTCCAGGTACTATATCAATCGTGAATTCTACTTCTTTGTCCGGAGGTAGTCCTATGACCTCTGTCAAAAACACTTTTGGAAACTCCTTAATAACTGGGATTTCTCTTATCCCTTCCTCAACTTCAATTTGCATTAAGAAGAAAATGAGGAATCCTTGGCAACCCTTTTGTAGACATCTGCCCGCTTGGGTTTCCATTATGAAATTTAATCGAACTTCCGGATTCAACTCTAATTCTCTCAGAGGTAAAATTTGGGTTTTGTTCTTACAGTCCATTAGGATATTGTGGGATGACAACCAATTCAGTCCATTCAGCACATCAATTTTATGGAAGGGCATACATATTAAGTCTATGGTAGTACAACAATACTCATAACAAAGTATACAGTTTAAGCACACATCAAATGTAATTACCCTATTCTGTGTTGGTGTGGACACATGTATATCATACGGTAATGTATTCATAATCAAGCTAAGTCTTTTAACACAGGCATACGAGATAAAAGAATATCTGGCATTCGAATCAAACATTGCAATCACTGTGGAGCTGTTAATCATGATCATACCTTGGATCATCTCTGAAGATTTCCGGGCTTCTTACCCTAAGAGGGAAAACACTCGGCCTTGGGTGCGTGGTCGTGCCTTTTCAGTGTTTTTGCGAGCATTCTCTTGAGAAATTTCCAAGTTTGCCACATATGTAGCAAACGTTCTGTCCTGCCATGCACTGTCTGTCACCATGATTCTTGCCATACTTTGTACACTCCTTGCCCTTCGGTGACTTACCGGCTTTTTTATTCTTGTGGCTATCCCATGGTCGCTTCCTCTTCTTACTCATATTAGATAAGGTGCCACCCTGACCTCCCTGACCTCCCCTATCTATTCTAGGAGTAGTCTTGACCATCAGATGATGGTTTAAGCTACTTTCTGTGATTCGGCAGGCCTCAACTGCTTTGTTGAACTGTTTGAATTGTCTGGGAGCAATCATCTCCCTCAAGGA